ACAGTTAGGGCGGCTAGGAGCTGGAACCAACTTCCAAGGGAAGTGGTGCTGGCCCCTACCCTGGGGGTCTTTAAGAAGAGGCTGGATGCCTACCTGGCTGGACTCATTTGAGTCCCGTTTCTTGTTTTGGGGTTTTGTTGTTCTCCCGCCCTGGCGGGGGGTCGGGCTAGAAGATCTACTAGGTCCCTTCCGACCCTAAATCTATGAAACTATAAAACAAGGCTGTGCAAGTTACATGATTACCACTGATAGCTCACCTTACGGTACTGTCTGCACTACCAGTTAGCCTTTCAAGGGAGCTCTACTTGCTTTTACCAGATCTGGATATGGCCAGAGGGAACAACCATAACATTTTCAAAAGTGCTTCAATGACCTAGCAGCGTATTTTAAAAAATAATCAACTTGGACTCTAGGCCCCCACTTGCCCAGGGGAGTCCGAATCTGCATCTCTCAGACTTTGTAGCACAGTGCTCAGACAGCTGTGCTGGCCATAAAGCACTACTGAATCCCTTTCAGGCACTTCTTCTGAAGCTGACCCATTGCCCCTTGTATTTAACAGCCACTGGAAGAAATGGATGGAACTAGTAGAATGTGGACATTTCTACCCCTTTGGAAAGTGAGTCTCCAGGCTAGACCCCAGGATGCCTTCCCTTTCAGGGAAGCAGCTATTTCACCGAGTGACACCCTTTCTGGTTTGTTCTCTGCCTCCTGGCCCCCCACACCTTGGCTGCCCAGGGTGGTCCCTTTGAAACGAGTGTTTGAAAAAGGGATACCTGGGTAATGTCCAATCTGTGGTATGCTGTGCTGGGAAATCAGAGAGAGACATAATCAAACTTCCTCCAGATGAAAGCAGCCTAGAACCTGGGTTTCTGTATCCCTAGGCAAGTACCTCAACCACCCAGCTATTGGGACAAAACACCCAAGACTTCCCTTGATCCTCTTCCACCCTACCCAGATCATGTTTTTTTAGCTATCTACTTTTTTGACACTTAGAGGCAAAGTACATGTCAACTGGTGCGTGCACATACATAGCTAATGCATAGCCTACTGTGCATGCTTAGTCTATGTGTGCATTTGTACAGGTGCACATGCTGCAGTGGCAGGCACTTCAAAAAACACCCGGTGCTGTAGCACATGCAGTTGTATAAGCGGCAAAATGCATGTCAGCGCTGAGAAAATGGTGGCGGCACACTTTTGAACTAAAACACATCAGAGGTGCTTTCGTTCAAAAGCACACCACCACCATTTTCTATGTGCTGATGCACATTTCACCAACTGCACATGACACAGCACAATGCACATCAACTGGCAATTAACTGAGTCGGCTCTGACACACAGGATCTCTCTCCAGTGTGTCCCTGCACAAAAATGTATATGTATAAATGCCTGCGTGCCCATTTACATGTCCACATCGCAAGGCTAATAGCATCACTATCTGCATGTCAATGGCACTTTCAGCAGTTACATGGGTAAAAAGCTCCCATTTAGACACACAAAGAGAAATAGAATTCCACCGTAAGTGCTTAAATCCTATTGATTTCAATGGGAGTAAGACATCTAGATAAATATGAAAACCCCAGTAGGCATTATCTGCATCTTTAGTGCTTCAGTGTCTCTAAAAAGCTGACCCTTGTTCCCTTAAATCAGTTAAGTGATTTTGATAATTTTATCCCCAAACCTAATTAATTATTTTTTACATCAGTGCCATCCCACTGAGAGCAGAAACTGAAAACAGCATTTGACTGAACTAGGTTAAGCTAAAGAGACAGTTACAATGTAGGATCTACATTTCACTGCTTTCAGGAGCTTAAAAGAGACCTTAATGTAATTGTTTCATATTCTTTAAAAAAAATGTATAATACTTTCTAAGCACGTCTGCTCACCATTGCAGGGCATCCCAGCTTATGCACTGTAATTATTATTCAATTAAATTATTGATGTATAATAGAGTGGTCAGAGTTGTGTGTTCCAAATCTGAACATCTATCACTGCCAAAACAAAAGAAGTAGATAACAAATTTGAAAGTGTGCTACATTGTCAGAAGCTCTGGTTTGTTCTCTGAATATCTAGGTATTAGAGATTTTAATTTCTAAATCTCTGAAAGACACAGCTGCCAAATTATAGCTTTTTTAGTTTTAGATGTCAAAGCATTCTAGTTTTTCTGCTGCTTTCTGTGCAGCAAATAAAAAAAGAAAGAAAAAAGAAAAACCTGTTCTAATTTGAAGCCCAGCAATGCTGCTGACTGGCAGAGTGAATTTTAAGTAACCCTTAAAAAGGACCACGTTAGAAAATGTGTCAGCATCATCCATGATATTTCTCCTTTTAATTTTAATAATAGATTTTTTTATTAATAAGAATTAGAAATAAGCAGAATTGCCTGGAGATTGGGTCCAGTTTGGGCTGTTCTAATACTGGTGCTACCTAGAGTGCATCAAGAATGTAGGGCTGGCCTATATCACAGTCAGTGCTACAACTGCCCAGCTTCCAAATATCAGCCTGGTCTGGTCCTTGGTACTCTCAGCCTTTGGCTCATCTTGCTCTGCTTTGGCTCTTGGCCCTCTCAGGTTGAGCCTGTCCCTCTCTAGCCCATTGGGGCACAGTCCCTGGGCCTCTTGGCTTAAGACCATCCCCATCTCATCCTTGGGGCACAGGCTCTGCCCCCCTCACCTTTGGCCTGCCCCAGAAAGGGCTCAGAATCTGAAGCACCTCCCAGGCACCCCTGCATGGCCTCCTATCCCTCCCTCCAGCCACTACCTGGTTCTGTGGTTAAACTGCAACAAATGATGCAAGCCAAATGCCTTAAATAAAACACTCCAAGCTCCACCAGGTCATCATACCAGTTGCCTCCTCTGAACCCTGGGGTACCTGATCTGGCCCACACTCCTTGCCTGCCTAAGCTGGCAGGAAATCTCCTCTGCAAGAGTCCTAGGCTGTAATGCCCCTCTGCCTCAGGAACCTAGGTTTATATCCCCTGAGCCCTTCCCTCAACAGGCTGTAGGTGTGTCCTCCCATCTTGATGAGCAGCTAATTGGGCCTAGGTTGCAGTTGCACCCTTGCTGCCTTCCCTTCCTCAGCTAACCTGTTTAGCTGCCTGGGGCCCTTTCTGCCACAGTCTCCCTCTTAAAGTAACAGGAGCCCCTGGCTCCTTGTTACACTGTCCTAGTTAGCTTAAAACTAGTTAGCCTGAGGACTAGTTGGCTACCTAGCTAGTAACTAGTACCAAACTCAGTGCAGGGTATAAAACCTGCCTGAGAAGCTGAGTTAATACTTGGGCATTTCTCCTAAATTCCATACTGCTGTAGCTAGACTAGAAGCAATGCCGAAACTAGATACTTTAGAGCTAGCCAAGGGATGTTTATGCTACATTGTAGGCATAGTGGCCGCAGTAGGCATACCCTTAAATTAGAACTGTGAGACTTCTGAAATAAGCATTGGGATACAAAGCCCTTATTCACTATATTGGCTCACTTCAAACTAAGATTAGTAGTACAACCTGACAATATTTGGTGCATTATAAAAAAATGAAATGGTGGGATATAATCTTCTTCTTAATGAACACCACCAGGTAGAGCTCCTGCTGACAACTCCAAATAGGCCAAGAACTGAATGAGTATGCAGACACAGCTGGACAACACATGAAAAACCTTTACAGAAAGTCTCTCTAAAAGAGGGATTAAGTCCACTGGTGGAATACTCTGTGCGGCATTACACCTGCTGCACTTATCCACCATATAGAGAGAAAACATCAGATTGAAGCTTTGTCAAGCCACCATTTTTCAGAGGCCAGTCCACTGTCTGCAAAATGAATATTTAAGATGTAGCAAGGTAGCAAAGGCAAGATTTGCTTAAACACAATTCTGAATGACCCATCCCCTCCTCAAGAGCCTGAGTCTAGGCCACATGACTGTAGCATAGAAAGTATGTTTATTATTAAAGCTTAACTAAAGACATAGCTTATCAATGGATCCTTGTGCAAATTTAAAGGGGAAATCCTTCTCCCCATTCCTTCCTGCACTAAAATCAGTGCAGCAGGAAATTGGGGCTGTATGCACAGATCACCTGGATAGGAAAGTGATCCCAGTCTCTGAGCTTATTTTAAGTTTTATAAAGTTAGAATGATTCTGTGATCCTTTAAGAGCAACACTGGCAAAGAAAGGGAATAATTAAAGCCATTACTCTCCTGTCACACCTGCTGCTTACCCAGGTATGAGAGTGGTTCTGAGAAAACCAGTGATGCAGGGGGCACAAAGCCAAACAGAGGGTAGCATTTTGTTTTTTTACTTAGTTTTAAACTATAAAAAATAAGACTTTTCTTTTTTTCTAAGTCTGAGAACAGTAGGTGAAATTCTGGCCCCAGTGCTATCAATGGAAAAATCCCCCTCACTTTAACAGGGGCAAGAATTGACCCTAAAATCTGCACACACTAGACATGTTTGGTCAAGGAGAGTCTCTCTAGGACATGCAGATGACGTTAATCCCATGGGATGGACCGATGTATGGGGACAGCTCTCAAGACTACTCATAATGCTGATCACAGATTGTTCTTTATCATACTCAATCTATATTAGTGTGTCTGTTAGCTAGCTTCACATATCTATCATTCTCACCGTGAGAGTAGTTAAACATTGGAACAGATTACTTAGAGACTTTGGAATCTTTGAAAGTGTTTAAAAGCAGATTAGAAAAACACAAGTTTAGAATGACTTAGACAGGAATGATCCTGCCTTGCGCAGGGCTTGGTATACATGTAGATAACCTCCTGAAGTCACTTCTATCCCTACTTTTCTACAATTCTAATGACACAACCTTAGAGCAGTATAGTGAGGGACTGTTGGCTTCTGGGACCATGGCTAGATTCACCCCTGAATTTTCCAAAGGAAGTCAGCAGGGTAAGAAAGGAAGATGCTCTGAAAAAGATGTTTCTGTGCTGAGCTACTAACCACGTGAAACAAAAGAGGTGTTTTCTCTGCCATGGGCTGCTTTCCAGTAACTGAGTGCTGAGGCTGCAATCTCTCCAACTGCTCCTGTAGTTTCTGCCTCCTATGTTTCTCTTTCATCTGCTTTTCTTTTTGGGACAGCTCTCTCTGGCTTTCTTCTGCCCTGCAAAATATAGGTAAATACAGATACTTCTAGCTTTGTTCTAACTCAGGGATCTCAGCAGTCTGTTTATTTGCCTGTAATAGATCCATCTTCCATATGCACCAGGCTCCTTCTGAGGGGTTACCTGTTAGTTCCCAAGATGAACCATGTAGAAGAACAACAACAGCAACTGTCAACTGGTCTAATAGCTTTAGTGGTGTCTGAACAGGACCCACATGAAAATAAGCTGAGCAAATGATGTCAGCACAATGTGAGTGTGAGGGAACGGCAGCAGGCTCAGACCCCAACCAACTACAGTACCAGCAATCTGCCTGGAGGTTGAAACATGCTGGTAAAATGGTGGCTATTAGCAAACCTTTGTTCCTGATGTTTCCCCACTTTTTGTCCACATCAAAATTTCCTGAGGGATCCTAAAACCCCTTTTTTCCTCTCCCACTTCCTCTTGCATCACAATGTTGGGCTTCCTTTGACCCAAGACTTTTCATTGTGCTTTATCCTGCTGTACTCTATGGTGGGGCTCTTCCAAGCTTTGAGAGCTATCACAGCAATTACAATATCCACTACAAAAACTGAAGTTCACGAAGATCACTTCAATCTCTCCCTACTGGCCATGATTGTTGTTATCATCATCAAATAAATCAAACTTCCTCTGTATGCAACCTTTGGCCTTTTAAGCTTGGAACCTGTTAGGCTGAAAGTCACTTTGTTGGTAACGGTGGCATTTTAACATTGGAAATGAGGCACAAGCAGGCCCTAGACCAGTGGTGCCTGACCCTTTTAGTCCATGAACTGGATGAGCATTGTCAGGTCTGTCTGTGGGCCAGGTCTGGTCCATGATCCTGAGCTGGCACACAGTGTGGCCCTGCTGAGGCCTGATCCAGCCATGGAGCACAGGACAGTTGGGGCTCAATGCAGTTGTGTGGGAAGGTCCCATGGGAGTAAGATCCAGCCACACAGGAATGGCATGCCCAGGGCCCAATCTGGCCTAGCACACAGCTGCATTAGGCCTTGGTTGAGCCATTCCTGAGTGGCTGAACTGGGTCCCAGCCCCCACAGCTGCATCAGACCCCGACTCAAAGGAGTTCCACATATGCAGGGTGCTGCACTCTCTCAGACAGCAACTGGTGCTTCTGTGCTCCATTTGTCCTTCAGTGCTACCTCCAGCTTTTTTTCCTGTCATGGAGCTTAATGCTCCAGTGCCTCCATGTTTTTAGGGAAGGCAAAATGTTTTAATAGATTTTTATGGACAGGCATTTTTAGGGTGTTTTTATACAGAATGTCTATAAATTCATGGACAGTTAGCAACCCCAAACTTAATGGGGCCCTTGCATGAAGGTCTGCCCCCATGGCATATAGCAGTCCCATGTCAAAGTGGGAGTCATGCAGAATGTACTACAGTCAATTAATTTCGAGGTCTAGCACAAGGAGCCAATTTTTTTGTTTTGTTTTTATTGATGACTTTTCTGTTTTTCTGGGCTGCCAAACCATTTAATTTATCTCAAGTCCTTCTGGGCATGCAAAGATAAAAATAATAATACCAAGCTCTTTTATTACACTCTTTTTTTTTTTTTTTTTTTTTTTTTT